GAGAGAGAGAGGAGATGGCGAGAGAGAGGAGATGGCGAGAGAGAGGGGGGGAGATGGCGAGAGAGAGAGAGGGGGGGAGATGGCGAGAGAGAGAGGGGGGGAGATGGCGAGAGAGAGAGGGGGGGAGATGGCGAGAGAGAGAGAGGGGGGGAGATGGCGAGAGAGAGAGGGGGGATGGAGAGAGAGAGAGGGGGGGAGATGGCGAGAGAGAGAGGGGGGGAGATGGCGAGAGAGGGGGGGAGATGGCGAGAGAGAGATGGAGAGGGGAGATGGCGAGAGAGAGAGGAGAGGAGATGGCGAGGGAGAGAGGGGGGTGAGTGAAGGGAGAGATGGGAGATGGCGAGAGAGGGAGATGGCGAGAGAGAGGGAGATGGAAGGAGAGAGAGAGGGAGATGGCGAGAGAGAGGGAGATGGCGAGAGAGAGAGAGATGGCGAGAGGGAGAGGAGAGGGGGGGAGGGAGAGAGATGAGAATAAGACAATAAAGTGGGGGCCATGCACCAAGAATGGAGACCAGGGTGAGAGAGAGAGGGGGGCGAGAGAGAGAGAGGGGGGGCGAGAGAGAGAAGGGGGGAAGAGCGAGAGGGGGGAAGAGCGAGAGGGGGGGAAGAGCGAGAGGGGGAGAGCGAGAGAGGGGGGAAGAGCGAGAGGGGGGAGAGCGAGAGGGGGGAAGAGCGAAGAGAGAGAAGGAGAGAGAGAGATGGCGAGAGAGAGGGGAGATGGCGAGAGAGGAGAAAGGAGATGGCGAGAGAGAGAGGAGAGGGAAGGAGATGGCGAGAGGAGATGGCGAGGGGAGAGAGGAGAGAGGAGATGGAGAGGAGAGGAGAGAGGAGAGGAGATGGCGAGAGAGAGAGGGGGGGAGATGGAGAGAGAGAGGGGAGGAGGAGATGGCGAGAGAGAGAGGGGGGGGAGATGGCGAGAGAGAGGGGGGGAGATGGCGAGAGAGAGAGGGAGATGGCGAGAGAGAGAGGAGATGGCGAGAGAGAGAGGGGGGGAGATGGCGAGAGAGAGAGGAATGGGAGAGAGAGAGGAGAGGAGATGGCGAGAGAGAGAGGAGAGGAGATGGAGGGGAGAGGGGGGTGACGGGAGAGAGGGAGATGGCGAGAGAAAGGGAGATGGCGAGAGAGAGGGAGATGGCGAGAGAGAGGGAGATGGCGAGAGAGAGGGGATGGCGGGAGATGGGAGGGTGACGGAGAGGGGGGGGGTGACGGGAGAGAGGGAGTGGGTGACGGGGAGAGAGAGGGAGTGACGGGAGAGAGGGAGATGGCGAGAGAGAGAGGAGAGGAGATGGCGAGAGGAGAGGAGATGGCGCGAGAGAGAGGGAGAGGACAGGAGATGGTGAGAGAGAGAGAGAGAGGGAGAGGACAGGAGATGGAGAGAGGGAGAGGACAGGAGATGGAGAGAGGAAGGGAGAGGGAGGGAGAGAGGACAGGAGAGAGAGGAGAGGGAGAGGACAGAGAGAGAGGACAGGAGAGGGGGAGAGAGAGGACAGGAAGGACAGGAGAGAGGACAGGAGAGGGGGAGAGAGAGGACAAGGACAGGGAGGAAAAGAGAGAGGACAGGAGAGGGGGAGAGAGAGGACAGGAGAGAGGACAGAGAGGGGGAGAGAGAGAAAGGACAGGGAGGAAAAGAGAGAGAGGACAGGAGAGGGGGAGAGAGAGGACAGGAGAGGGGGGAGAGAGAGGACAGGAGAGGGGGAGAGAGAGGACAGGGAGGACAGGAGAGGGGAGAGAGAGGACAGGACAGGGAGGACAGGAGAGGGGGAGAGAGAGGACAGGACAGGGAGGACAGGAGAGGGGGAGAGAGAGGACAGGACAGGGAGGACAGGAGAGGGGGGGAGAGAGAGGACAGGAGAGGGAGAGAGCCACTACATATTATATATATTTAATCAATGGCTTGGTAAACACAAATTGCTAATCAGCCAGGCAGAAACTCCATGCATGTAGGCATCTAGACGTGGTGAAGACTACTTGCTGAAGTTCAAACCGAGCATCAGAATGGGGAAGAAAGGGGATTTAAGTGACTTTGAACGTGGCATGGTTGTTGGTGCCAGACGGGCTGGTCTGAGTATTTCAAAAGCTTCTGATCTGCTGGGATTTTCACACACACAACCATCTCTAGGGTTTACAGATCCTGGGATGCAGGCACCTCTTGGGTATTCAGGTATATTGACGACACTCGGGATTGATTTAGTACAGGCAATTAGACTGTGCACTCTATAAGTACAGTTGCTAGAGAGCTGAGTAAATGAGGGGGAAGCTCTACTGACTTCCATCATCCAATCAGGTGCAAGCAAAAATGCTTTCTTGGTGATTGGGTAGTCTTTGCAAAGCAAAGCTTCACTTCATTTACTAAGCTTTGGAGCAACTGCAGCTAGAGTCTGTTTGCCCTTAGTAAATCAACCTCATTGACTTCAAATTCAACTGCGAAAAAAAAAAAAAAAAAAAAAAAGATTCCCCCACACACTATCGAGGAATAATCATTCAATCAAAATTAGTCATACAAGCACGCCTCGCGTGTTACAATCCACCTGCAAGAAATGTTCCGGCTCTTTATATTGCATCCTCTGATTGATGACACCGAGTGTTGCTGCAATCATCCAACTCTCAGATTGGAAATGAACAGAAATGAGGAATCCGACAATCGTATTGTAACATGTGTGGACACCTTAAGAGAGGCATGTCATTATTCTGCATCGTGAGCCGAGTTTCCAGAGACAACCTGCCAAGGATTCTCTGATATGCGAGTTTAAATAATTCCTTTCTGTCTCTGCGGTGAGGAAAGGGGAAAGGAAGACTCGGCTTCTCTTCATCCGCTCTAGGATTTGCCACGAGGCAGCTCTTCAGACACTTTTATTATTTCTGGGGTAGAACTGTCAAATCGCTGCGTGTCGGAGATCTCCCCTTACAGGACTTGGATCAGAACGGTCTGACTACAGGTCAGCGCCATCATAAGAATGAAAAAATATAGCAATACAAACTCCATGCACCTAACCCACCCTAATAGAAACACCTCCAAGTATAAGTACAATGTATTTGCTGCTGAAAGGAATCCTCAAATGCAATTTGATACAAAAAATATAAAATATATCTAGCATGTAGTGCAAAACAATGATACCCCAGTAACTCAAATGTGTAAATTAGAAAATTCAAAACGAATTCAATATTCACACAAAACGGTTCAATATTCACACTATATACATATATACACACACACACACACACACACATATATATATATACACACACACACCTCAAAAAATGAAAGGAAGACTTTAATCCGAGTCCGGCATCAAGTCAATGAACCTCCTGGGATATGGATCTGGTCAGGTAAGTAGCAGAGGGGGTTGTTCATCAGTTTCAGCTGCTTTGGTGTTAATCAAATGAACAGGTGCACTAGATAGGCAACAATGAGACAACCCCCAAAACAGGAATGGTTTTACAGGTGGAGGCCACTGACATTTTCCCCCCACTCATCTTTTCTGACTGTTTTTCACTCGTTTTGCATTTGGCTAGGGTCAGTGTCACTACTGGTAGCATGAGGCCATACCTGGACCCTACAGAGGTTGCACAGGTAGTCCAACTCCTCCAGGATGACACATCAATATGTGCCATTGCCAGAAGGTTTGCTGTGTCTCCCAGCACAGTCTCAAGAGCATGGAGGAGGTTCCAGGAGACAGGCAGTTCCTCTAGGAGGGCTGGACAAGGCCGTAGAAGGTCCTTCACCCATCAGCAGGACCGGTATCTGCTACTTTGTGCAAGAAGGAACAGGGTGAGCACTGCCAGAGCCCTACAAAATGACCTCCAGCAGGCCACTGGTGTGAATGTCTCTGACCAAACATCAGAAACAGACTTCATGAGGGTGGCCTGAGGGCCTGACATCCTCTAGTGGGCCCTGTGCTAACTGCCCGGTACCATAGAGCTCGATTGGCATTTGCCATTGAACACCAGAATTGGCAGGTCCACCACTGACACCCTGTGCTTTTCACAGATGAGAGCAGGTCCACCCTGAGCACATGTGACAGACGTGAAAGGGTCTGGAGAAGCCGTGGAGAATGTTCTGCTGCCTGTAACATGGTTCAGCATGACCGACTTGGTGGTGGGTCAGTGATGGTCTGGGGAGGCATATCCATGGAGGGACGCACAGACCTCTACAGGCTAGACAATGGCCCCCTGACTGCCATTAGGTATCGGGATGAAATCCTTGGACCCATTGTCAGACCCTACGCTGGTGCAGTGGTCCTGGGATCCTCCTGGTGCACAACAATGCCCAGCCTCATGTGGTGAGAGTATGCAGGCAGTTCCTGGAGGATGAAGGAATTGATACCATTGACTGGCCCCCATGCTCGCCTGACCTAAATCCAATAGGATTTAGGATGTCATGTTTCGGTCCATCCGACGCCGCCAGGTTGCACCACAGACTTTCCAGGAGCTCAGTGATGCCCTGGTCCAGATCTGGGAGGAAATCCCCCAGGACACCATCCTTGGTCTCACTAGGAGCTCATCCCCCCCCCCCCCAACGTTGTCAGGCATGCATACAAGCACGTGGGGGCCATACAGACTACCTGAGGACCATTCTGAGTTGCTGCAAAGACATTTCAGCTAAATGGACTCGCCTGCTGCATCATTTTGTCACTTTGATTTTTGGGGCGTCTTTGAATTCAGTCCTCTGTAGGTCGATCATTTCCATCAAACAATGGGGCATCCTTAAATTCCTCACCCATCCCCCATCTATGTCAGTATAGAGATCCAGCAGGAGATTCCTTCCCATTGAGGTCTGATGGGTTTTCAGTGTTCCTTTAAGTGTGTGTGTGTTTGTGTACCTTATATAACAATCTCAAAACTGACACATATGCCATATAAGCTATAGATGGTGTCACTTTTAGGATGTTTCACTATATCGGCCATTCTAAACCTTTTTACCCCAAAGGTACGCTAAAAAAATATATTCAGGTCTTAGGGATCCTTTGCTACAATTAATTCATCGGGGGTCAGTAGGAACAATGTCCCTTACATTGGGGGTCAGTGGTGGGAAGAATGTTCTTTACATTGGGGGTCAGTGGGAAGAATGTCCCTCACATTGGGGGTCAGTGGGAACAATGACCCTCACATTGGGGGTCAGTGGGAAGAATGACCCTCACATTGGGGGTCAGTGGGAAGAATGTCCCTTACATTGGGGATCAGGGGGGAAGAATGTCCCTTACATTGGGGGTCAGTGAGAAGAATGTCCCTTACATTGGGGGTCAGTGGGAAGAATGTCCCTTACATTGGTGATCAGTGGGAAGAATGCTCCTTACATTGGTGATCAGTGGGAAGAATGTCCCTTACATTGGGGGATCAGTGGGAAGAATGTCCCTTACATTGGTGATCAGTGGGAAGAATGTCCCTTACATTGGGGGTCAGTGAGAAGAATGTCCCTTACATTGGGGGTCAGTGGGAAGAATGTCCCTTACATTGGGGGTCAGTGGGAAGAATGTCCCTTACATTGGGGGTCAGTGGGAAGAATGTCCCTTACATTGGGGGTCAGTGGGAAGAATGTCCCTTACATTGGGGGGTCACTGGGAAGAATGTCCCTTACATTGGGGGTCACTGGGAAGAATCTTCCGTACATTGGGGGTCAGTAGGAACAATGCCTCTTACATTGGTGGTGAAGGAGTGTGCCAGCAACATGACTTTCTCCTGTCCCATAACAGAAGGTCTATACCTACACGAGGACTTTGGGCTACGAGAAAGGGGGGGGGGGGGGGTACCTGAGCATGGTACAGATTGGGTAAAAAAAGTAGTAAATGCAGATGGATCACAAGATTAATTTTGCTACCTTTTCTACTTTTTTGGCAAAGGTGGACTGAGTGTTTAATTATAAAAAGAGAGCTGAGACCTCCCATTCCTGAGTGACTTACTCCATCAACTGATTTAATTACACTCCGTCCGGCGCTGGGCTCTCCGCTCTCGTTAGCCCCTTAAATCTCTGTATGGATGACAGTAACACAACTTCATCTCCATCACTCGGCATCAGCACAACCTTCGGCGGCGCTCCGTCCCCACAACGGGCGATATGAATTCTTCCAGCATTTCTCATGTAATGAAGAATTGTATGAGCGCTCTGACCTTGAATCTTCCGGCTCACAATCACAATGTAATATTCTTCCTAAAGGGAATCAATCTGCGAGCGCGCATTTCATTCTGTATGAGTAACTCCCCGCCATTCAGTCCATGAGATAGAAAGGATTGAATCATCGGCTGTTTGTCACATAAACTGCATGGGCGGAGTGACAACTTCTAGACAAAAGTCACCAGTGAACTTTTAGAACATCGGGTTATGGCCAGCCCCCCCCCCCCCCCCCCAAAGAAACTACATTAATATAATGTATTTAGTAAAACTAATGATGCTAGTTTCAGTATTACTCACCTTCTTACACTGATTCCCCAGTCTCTATCGGACCAAAGCGGGGGCGTGGGCGGGGGCGTGTCGGACCAAAGCGGGGGCGTGTCGGACCAGCGTGGGCATACTGGTCTACAGAGGGGCATGTCTGGTTTATATGGTTCAATTCATGCTTACTTTGGTATGAAGAAGAGGGTCTGTCCCTCGAAACGCGTAAGCCTTAGCACGCTAAAGGAGACCTTCCATACCACTTGTCTGCATTCTACTATATTCTGTATACAACATGTGCTTGTGAGTAGATGACCTACCTTTTTTTATATTTTAATAAATGGTGTTTTTGGTAATGCACTAGGTCGGTGCGCCCTCTTACTTTTCATATTTATTAGCGTGTCTGACCAGAGAGGGGGGCGTGACTGGCCAGAGGGAGGGATGTGACTGGCCAGAGGGAGGGATGTGACTGACCAGAGAGAGGAGGCATATCTGTCTATAGAGGGGGCGTGTCCGACCAGAGAGGGGGGCGTGTCCGACCAGAGAGGGGGCGTGTCCGACCAGAGAGGGGGGGGGGGGTCGTCCGACCAGAGAGGGGGGGCGTGTCCGACCAGAGAGGGGGGGCGTGTCCGACCAGAGAGGGGGGGCGTGTCCGACCAGAGAGGGGGCGTGTCCGACCAGAGAGGGGGGCGTGTCCGACCAGAGAGGGGGGCGTGTCTGACCAGAGAGAAGGGGGGGGGGGGTCGTGACTGACCAGCAGAGGGAGGTGGCATATCTGACCAGAGAGGGGGCGTGTCCGACCAGAGAGGGGGCGTGTCCGACCAGAGAGGGGGCGTGTCCGACCAGAGAGGGGGCGTGTCCGACCAGAGAGGGGGCGTGTCCGACCAGAGAGGGGGCGTGTCCGACCAGAGAGGGGGGCGTGTCCGACCAGAGAGAGGGGGCGTGTCCGACCAGAGAGGGGGCGTGTCCGACCAGAGAGGGGGCATATCTGTCTATAGAGGGAGCGTGTCTGACCAGAGAGAAGGGGTGTGTCTGACCAGAAATGGGGGGGGGGGGGGGGGGGGGGGGTCGTGACTGACCAGAGAGAGGTGGCATATCTGTCTATAGAGGGGGCGTGTCCGACCAGAGAGAGGGGGCGTGTCCGACCAGAGAGAGGGGGAGTGTCCGACCAGAGAGAGGGGGAGTGTCCGACCAGAGAGAGGGGGGTGTGTCCGACCAGAGAGGAGGCATATCTGTCTATAGAGAAGACATATCTGTCTATAGAGGGGGCGTATCTGACGAGAGAGAAGGGGCGTGTCTTACCAGAAATGGGGGCATCTCTGACCAGGTCTGCTACTGAGTGCTGATTACTGGGTGCACTGGTTGGGAAAGCAAACTTTCCTGTTATTGTCCACCAGAAAAAAATATACCTTTTCCAGTCTAAGTAAAAATTTAGAAAACCCCCAAAATAGAGCAAATAGTATTCTGCAATATTCCCTTTTTTATGACATCAAAATGATATTTCTTGCGTAAAATGTAGCAAAATTATCTGCAAGTGAAATTAAAGCAGTATTAAAACACAAAAAAAAAAAGTAATATATTGCAGCTTACCAATCATTAGATGTGGCGGTTGCATTCATTTTCATTTAGGACTTTTTTTTCCTCCGTTTTCACCTGGTGATCTGGCCAGTAACAAACCTCCTGTATTAGAGAAGGACCCCCCCCCCCCCACTCTGGATGAAGGAGCACAGGGGACACCTTTGGACAGCATCATTGTCAATCTGGGTGGAGGGGAGTATTAGACGGACTAGCAGATTTAGATACACTAACAAATTGAAGACACACTCCAGGTCACACTTTATAATCAGTTATAGAGAAAACAGTTTTTTTTTCTTTGGAAATACAGGTTTTACATAAATAAAAGTTGATCATTGTAAGCACCCCTTTCAGTGGTAAATGGTTTGTCTCAACACTCATTTACAGCGCCTTGAAAAAGTATTCATACCCCTTGAAATTTTCCACATTTTCTCATGTTACAACCGGATGTGAACTGTCATTTTTTTTTTTTTTTTTTGCTGGAAAGCCTGAGATCATTTTTTTTTTTTTTGCTGGAAAGCCTGAAATCAAGCTTTCCAGTGTAGAGGAGAGATCTGGGGTCTATTAGACCCCAGATCTCTCCATAAAGAGGACCTGTCATGCCTTATTCCTATTACAAGGGATGTTTACATTTCTTGTAATGGGAATAGAAGTGGTTGAAAAAAAAAAATTAAGTGACAGTGTTAAAAAAAAAAAAATATATATATATATATATATATATAACACACACACACACAGCTCACAGAAATGAAATGAACACTTTTAATCTGAGTCTAACATCAAGTCAATGAACCTCCTGGGATATTGATCTGGTCAGGTAAGTAGCAGAGGGGGGTTGTTCATCAGTTTCAGCTGCTATGGCATTAAACTAACAACAGGTGCACTAGATGGGCAACAATGAGATGACCCCCAAAACAGGAATGGTTTTACAGGTGGAGGCCACTGACATTTTCCCCCCACTCATCTTTTCTGACTGTTTTTCACTTGTTTTGCATTTGGCTCGGGTCAGTGTCACTACTGGTGGCATGAGGCCATACCTGGACCGTACAGAGGTGGCACAGGCAGGCCAACGCCTCCAGGATGGCACATCAATACATGTCATTGCCAGAAGGTTTGCTGTGTCTCCCAGCACAGTCTCAACAGCAAGGAGGAGGTTCCAGGAGACAAGAGCATGGAGGAGATTCCAGGAGACAGGAGCATGGAGGAGATTCCAGGAGACAGGAGCATGGAGGAGATTCCAGGAGACAGGAGCATGGAGGAGATTCCAGGAGAAAGGAGCATGGAGGAGATTCCAGGAGAAAGGAGCATGGAGGAGATTCCAGGAGAAAGGAGCATGGAGGAGATTCCAGGAGACAAGAGCATGGAAGAGATTCCCGGAGACAAGAGCATGGGAAGAGATTCCCGGAGACAGAGCATGGAAGAGATTCCCGGAGACAAGAGCATGGAAGAGATTCCCGGAGACAAGAGCATGGAAGAGATTCCCGGAGACAGGCGGTTCCTCTAGGAGGGCTGGACAAGGCCGTAGAAGGTCCTTAACCCATCAGCAGGACTGGTATCTGCTCATTTGTACAAGGAGGAACAGGATGAGCCCCTCCAGAGCCCTACAAAATGACCTCCAGCAGGCCACTGGTGTGAATGTCTCTGACCAAACAATCAGAAACAGACTTCATGAAGGTGGCCTGAGGGCCCGACGTCCTCTAGTGGGCCCTGTGCTCACTCCCGGCACCATAGAGCTGGATTGGCATTTGCCATTGAACACCAGAATTGGCTGGTCCACCACTGGCACCCTGTGCTTTTCACAGATGGGAGCAGGTTCACCCTGAGCACATGTGACAGACGTGAAAGGGTCTGGAGAAGCCGTGGAGAACGTTCTGCTGCCTTTAACATGGTTCAGCATGACCGTTTTGGTGGGGGGTCAGTGATGGTCTGGGGGGCATATCCATGGAGGAACGCACAGACCTCTACAGGCTAGACAATGGCCCCCTGACTGCCATTAGGTATGGGGATGAAATCCTTGGACCCATTGTCAGACCCTACGCTAGTGCAGTGGTCCTGGGTTCCTCCTGGTGCAGTGGGTCCTGGGTTTCTCCTGGTGCAGTGGGTGGGTCAGTGATGGTCTGTAAAAGATAAGTAAGCGTAAAGATCCTGGTGTATTGGCGTTGTAGATGAGCCGATTGTCTCCTTATAAAACATAGATGATGGCAAGGTCTACACATGAGATCATACAACCACATCACAGGTATACAGTAGTCGCCGGTGTCAAGCATTGCTAGTACCTAGATGTGCTCTATACCAATAGGCAAGCCTGGGGGGGGGGGGGGGGGGGGGAGGGTTTCACATGAAAAATTAATAAACGTACAGCCGTTATAATCAGATCCTATGGTGATCTAGTTCTGGGTCACATATAACAGGAGCAGT